CGACCTACCGACCTACCGACCTACCGACCTACCGACCTACCGACCTACCGACCTACCGACCTACAAACAAGTCAAATAACTTACGCAAGCAGAGAGTTACTGAGCAACCTCGAGTTTCATATACTGGCCCAGAGCATGGGTTAGTTGGGACGGGAGAGTTACAAGGACGATATCTTGACTGGRTTCCCTTTGCGCCATTACAGGGTTGAGCACAGGAAGACCAAGCTGACCAGCCACTGTTTTGATTTTTTTCCATTGGAACCACAGTCTTGTTGTTTTGAACAAAGCTAAATACGTGAGAAAAGAAGAAAAGAATCAATCACATAAGCATGGGCCATAAGAACATGACTACACGTACGTTAACACAAAAGTTCCCTCCAGATCCAGTGGTACCCCATCAACCACTTAGTCGTACTTTCTTTTGAAATTTTCTCAAATAATTGGACTTCTGAAATAGAAACCTGCATTTGAATGGGGTCCTGGGGTCCACGCTTCTCCCTTGTTACTTGTGGCCAATGAACAATTAACCTAGTGAGTTTAGTTTTGACTGCGTAATCGGTTGCTCAAAATGTCAGCACATTGGTAAGCCGAGCTAGTTATGTTTACCTGTAGACTTCGTTACTTAGTGGCCCACCCTCTCCGTCACCTGCAGAGGATTAGATTAGATTAAAAAAGAAAGAAAATGATCCATTTGATACAATCAAATATTAAGAAATCATTGTATTGGACGAGGTTGAGYAAAAGTATCGTGATTCGTTAGTGGCGAGCGAGCAATTATTTGCCGTTGCCAAATTAAAATCACGATATTTTCCGATAACTGAGTTCAATAACTGTTTTATCATTCAAATTATTTTTCCCATTTTCTTTTTGCATTTTAGTTGTTTTTGCTGTCTATCAAACATAGGGAAACGAGCCATGACAAATGTAAAGTTACTGCGCATGAGCGGAATATCATTTGCAGCAAAACGGCTTTGCACCGTAATGCGCATTAGCAGATTATTATTTTTAGGCAGTTACTTGCAGGTATCTCGGCCAATCAAAATGACGGAAAAAAGAAATTCGAATGATAAAATAACGTTCTTTCTTATCATGGTTCATGACGAGCAACGCTTGTTCAATTTACAGCCCAAGCGTGTTGCGTGACAAGTTGCACCAAGTTGTTGGCTGCATTAGCGCATCTTGTCACGCGTCCTCCTCGATTAAGAATATTTCTTGCATTATTATTTTTTCCTTTAGTATGTTCTGTTAATTTTACTGTTCATTGAGAAATTTGAGGGCCAACAAAGCTGTTTAAAAAAAAACCTCAAAGTTTTCCTATTTCTTTACCTTTACAGTTTTGTGATGGTCCATACTTTTTGTAGCTTTCCACCGAGTTCATCTGCCCGAAGCACTGACCTCCATTCTGAAGGGCAAACAGTTTAAAGTTCTTCTGGCTGGCCACTTGTGCACACTTCATTAATGCATTTGATCGCGCTTTGTAATTAGGATTCTTGAGTAATGGATGTTTTCCTTCTTGGCTTTTTAAAGCTCTTGCGTTCATATCATCGTTCCAGCAGCCAATGCTCTTGAATTCTAAGTGGAAAAATAAACAAGACGAGCTTAAAAGCAACAGTAACAGCAACAACTACAACTACAACAGCAACTACAACAGCAACAGCAACTACAACCGCAACAGCAACTACAACAGCGACTACAACAGCGACTACAACTACAACAGCAACAACAGCAGCATCAACACCAGCAACCAAAAAGCGCGCGCATGCTTATAGGTTCAAATCGAGTTTTCAGGCAGACATTTTAGTAAGTAAAAAAACATTAAGGCAGTCGTGGTAATACTCCTGTCGCGAATATCGCTCGCATGGGCTGCCTGTGTACTGACATATTAATCGATCTTCAATAAAACACACCGTCATGAACTAGGACCTCTAACTTTTTATGTTGTGTTAGTCACAACAACTCCATTTACAAATTCTCTGTCCTACAGGGTTAGCCTCGATTTCGTGTGGAATCGGCTTGGAATATTTCGGTATGCATTCCAATGAAGGTCCGTGGAATTTCAAGGCGTTTACATTGTTGAAATTGTACATTCTTTACCTTACCGTTGGCATTTGCGAATATTTGGACACTGAAATAAGGTTAACCCTGTATACGAGTCTGGGATCAAGGAAAACAGCGGTATTAGACTAATTCGAAAATGGTCTAACTATTGGGTTTTGTAGTGTACTTCCCCCTCCCCTCCCCTCCCCTCCATTCATTCCTGGAGCTATTAAAAACCGCTCAAGCTAAACAGTATCCGTCAATTCTACGAGCCAATAGACGATTTGCACTATCAGGTCTCGTGACCCTACCTCCCTTAAAACGAGCAGTTTTGTCAAATTAAAAAAGAGAAACGAAAAGAGTATCTCGGCATTAGTAGGGAGGCGGCGTTTTAGCTCATAATAAGCAAAACAGGAGAAACAGCATTAGATATAAAATTGAATGTTTTATAAGGATTTGTATGGGAAAATGCGCTGGACGGCTAAAGCTTACCAGCCAACACTTTTCTCATACAAATCCTTGTAAAATATTTGATTTTATATTTAATGTCATTTCTTCTATAGTCGACAATTCTAGCTGAAACTTTGCCCTTTCACTAAATTTGAAGTACTCTTTTCATTTCTGCTGTTCATTGTGACTCATTTGCTCGTGTTAAGGGGGATGTGGTCACGTGACCGGTTAGTGCAAGTCGTCTATTGGAACCTGATGTTCATTCGATCAATAAAACACTCACGTTTGCCTCCGATTGTAAATATCTCATCACGATTTGGTTGGGTGTCTTCATTGGCAGCAGCAGCTGCATGCATATATGAACTTTGGCCCGGGTATGCAGAAGTGTACAGGTAAACTTCCGGCAACATAACTTGGGATGCAGCCGCTTGAGCCGGTGCGGGATGGTAACTTGGATAGGAGCTCGAAGCTGCGGGGTAGCTTGAGTAGCTTGCGGGATAGGTAGCTGGTTGGGGGTAGTAGGCTGCCTGAGGTGAGGGATATGGGTAATATTGACCCTGGTTATAATTGGGGTACAATGATCGTGTATGGGAGCTCGCGCTGGCATGAACAGCTTTCCTCAAAGGTAGGTTTCGGAATTTCCTTGAATTGTAGTAAAACGATCTTTTGTTTAGCTTTTCGTCCGCTGAAAGGAAAAAAATGAACACACTAAGTAATATAGCCAATAGGCATACCCTACCAGGTCACGTGACCCTGATCCCTTTTATTGAAGCAGTTGCCATTCCCAAATGAATCCCAAAAATGAATGGAATGAACACCTCCATGTTAGCATGGCTAGTAGAGGGGAACTCTACAGACCCCTTTACGAACTGTTATATTAGTAAAAAGCGGAGGCTTATTAAGTACTTTTTTATCCGCTTTTGTTTATTTATTATTTATTATTTTATTATATTATATTTTTTTGCTATTTTAGGTAGCTTTAAGGTATGTTTTTTTTTCACTTTCAAATCTCTTTTAAGCCGCAAATAATCTAGTATGACCTTGACTGAATAAATTTGATTTTTACATACACCTACTTGCAAGAACGTTGTCATATACGATAGAGTGCACGCACTAAAACCGTGAATACTAATTAGTACTATTTCATACAGAATCCTTTGTTTTCTATTGCTTAATTATCACTATTTAGTGCTAAAAATTAATATTTGTTTCACGGATTAAGTGTGAGCACTCTATTAGAACATTAGTAATTTAGTGAGAAATGAATGCATTAAAAGACAAAAGAAAAAGTTCAGCTTCAGTGATCGTCTTTTGTCTTTTAATATAATTCCTATCCCATTATATCACTAATGTTCTATTTTCGCATGACAACGTTCTTGCAAGTAGGTGTATCAGATGTCGGTTACCAGTGAAAGCTGATTCACACGAAYTGAGACGAAGGGAAGACTGGGGAGATTTTCATTACACGGGAAGCTTTATAATTCAATATGTATAAATATGGCGAAATAGGGTGTTATTGATAATAATTTAAAGAGTTCAGTTAAAGGTAGACAGATTTGTTGTTATCATTCTGAAAATCGTATGAAGGGAAAAGAAATCGCCCTGTATAAAAATCCCAGATGCCAGATACTCTCCCCAGTCCTCCAAGTAAGGCCATGTTACACGTTGAAACTTTTAGCAATTTCGTCCTCAAAATTTTTCGCGACACAAGTTTCGGTCGCACGAGTAGAAAGCAGTTCTACTTTTCGTGAAACTTTCTCGCGTTGAAAGTTTCAGAAAGCCTAAATTGCGCTTCGTAACATCCCCGTGAAACTTGTCTCGCAACGCCGTCGCGTCACGCACAAGTTTCAGCTAAAAGATTCAACGTGTGTAACATGAAGACTTTTACTTCTAAATTGTGGGGAACTTACATTTTGACTTCTTTCGGTGATGTAGCTTTGATTTAGATCCATGAGTCAATAGGACCGAGTGGAGAAGCAACAAAAGAGAGAGTCCTATGATTATAGACTTGATCGTGGTCATTATGATTCAACCTGTTTCCAATAAAATAGATAAATTAGTAGTTGGAAGATATATATTTATTCTAATAAAGTAAGCCACGCGAACCAGAAAGCACAAATCTGCGATAAGAATTATGAATATGCGCAAATTTTTCTCATCTGAAAAAGATAAAAATAAAAATTAGATTGTTTTTCCAGAGTGACACTGGTAGTTAACACACTTGTGACCATCTTTCCATGATCGAATTGGAGTTTAATGATTTGATTGAAATTTTAAGGCGGGAGGAAAAAACCCTTGAATCAAGGGATAGACGTAATAACCGTTAACGAAAACTCTGAAATGACATGGAAAGGTTTACATGACCCTCTGAAAGCAGAATTATTTTTGGCAAACTCATGATTCTCATGATTCTTGTTTGTCCCACCTTTCAACTTCCTTGAAAATTTTCTTTTAGTATTTTGAGTCATACAATGAAAGAGAAGAAGTTTCGTTTTTCGCTTTTAGACTTAACGAACCATTTGGTAGCCATGAAAGAACCACAATGAAAGAACAATAATAACCGTGACGACAAGCTAGCCTTACGAGCATACAATTACATACATGCATATTCAATATTAAGTTGTACTAGTATTTGAGTCCAGAGAAAATTAAGAAATATTTGTAAATATTTGAAAATCTTTGATCATATCTAGACTCAATATAAAATTCTGTGAAATTTACAACAAAAGATATTCCAAATTGTTTAATGTGTTAAATAATTGATGATTGTTTTAGGTAATGCCACGTTCAAAATGTCGAGAAATTCTTTTCAAATAACATCTTTTGCTATTTGTCAGCATGTGAATCCATCTCATGCACCTAGAATCTATAATCATAATATTTTTCATATTAGCTACAAGTTGATAGTTTAATGGAAATTAAAATAACGAATAAAGCAGGGAAACTGGTGAAAGTATTTAAATGGGATATGGGTGGGGTGAAGAAACCGAAGAACCACACAGCATTCGTCGGTTGACAGCTTTCACTTCTTTCATTGCAACAAAAAAAATCTGCTTTTAAAATTTAAATTTCTAAAACATCGASAAGTCTCGCGATTTTACTCCTGGAACGATCTGGTCTTAGCTAGGCAGACATTCAGTTCATTCAGTTCCACACATATTGTGTTCAAGGTTAGGTTCCACTGACTACCCTGTGCTAAATGAAATATGTTGACAAGCGCTTCAAACTGGCTTAAATTAGATTTTCTAAATCTACTCTGGGCAAGAACAATTGGTTTTTACTCTGAAACATGAAAAAGATTGGTAATTTGTTCATAGATCGCCGGCTCAGTTACTTTATAAATGGCGTTTTGACGGAAGTTTTTGGAATGACACTTGGACTAGTTTTGATTGGAAAAGTAAGGAACATATCTAGAATCGGTCTATTGGGCTGGAAACTGTATTGTGAAGGTTTGGTTTAATTTAACATTTATGGAAGGGGCAGGCAATGTCATTTCTACAGGTACTACATACAACATCGTTTGTTGTCTTGACAGGATGACTTGTATTTTATGAAAAAAATGGGACGTGGCTTTTTCATGATATTAATTGAATGTTCAAAATAATATCGGGCATTTCAGTAGTGATACAAAAAAATATCCAAATTTTTGCTTATATTATATGTCAAGCACCCATATGATGCTCATAAAACCTAAGATAAATGGGGCCTTTTTTAATGCAGCAAATTCTTTAACAAGGGAACTTAAAATTACAAATAAAAATATAGAGGTGAGAGGGGGTGGGGGGTGGGGATCTAGGAAAACGAATTTAGACATGGAAATCAAAAAAATTAGAATGTCTTAAAAGATTTGTACCTCATTTTTAAATCCGGGATTTAGCAACGCCCCTATATTCTTAATTCTAAGCTAGTTTAAAATCCAATTAGGTTTAAATGTATATTTTTGGCATAGAAAAAGATATATTCCATTTTTAGCAAGACTCAAAAACTGGTGGGATAGAGTGGCATGTCATGGATAAAATGGATAAAGACATTTTAAAAATTAGAAAATCGATACGATTTCTGTCTCCTCGAACATCATTATAACATACATAGTGAAAAGGCTGTGTAGCTTACTTTTTAGAAAGGAAATTGAATTTCTTTTGACATGACAAAAAAATTACTTTATAGAGGGAAAAAGAGAGAAAACATTTGAAGCTTTTAAGATCTCTCTGTCCGTGCAATAAATATATATTTTTTGTAACAAACAATGTTTACAAATATCCAACCTTCACATGAATTCATACCGGCTTTTTGAGCAACAATGTTTATCTATGAATAAGTTCGTAAAAATAGGTCAAACTGACAAGRAATTGTTTTACTAGGTCAAGCGAAGTGGTGTGGAATAACAAAGATCAATAGTCAAGAAGAATTCCGTATTTACAGATACTTGTAACATCTTTATATAAATTTGCTAACAAATATCAAAACATTTAGCATACCTTAAAGATATCGTCTCTCCTTATTGTTTTATCACGGTCATAATATCGTCCTGATGTTTTGATGAGAGAAAGACGAAATAACCTCGTTTGGTACCTCAGATATTAAATATTCACGAGTGAAGTCGTCCAGTGTTTGCTCCGCTGACCTAGTTGACAGTGAAAGTACTAAATAAACACCAGGGGGCAATTTTTCTTTCCTTCAACTCGTTTGCGGGTAAAAACTGGTTCATGACAACGGCTATCTTCACATGCATTTATATATTCTGATACTATATGAAATACATTTTGGACAACTTTTGTCCTATTCCTTTTTTATTTTTTAAGTTTCCTTATTTATTTGTTTGTTTTTTAAATATATTAAATCGGGAAAAGAGTTAAAAGCACTAACGAGAATTCATTTGCTGTTCATATTTGTCAGTATTCTGAGTAATTTGTTCATCTTCTGCAATAAGTGATATTGAATAGAGTCTACGAGACATGAAAGGCTATTTAGTTCACGGCATTGTCCTTGTTTATTCTGGTGGGATTAAGTTCTGTTTTGTTGTTTGTGTTTATTTGTTTGTTTGTTTTTCCTTCTTGTACTATGATAGTAAAGATACTCAAAAACTATGAAATGATCGAATAACCAACATCACAATATCATGATGGACTATTATTCTTAATTCGTTTAAAATTAAGCCAAAATAATGGAATTCAATATTAAAGGAGGAGGGGCTGTAATGTAAACTTATACCAATTTCAACACTAACGAACCAACCCAATTCATTCATAACTAATACTTTAACAACATAAACCCCGCATAATCTATACTAAAATATTAAAACAGCCACAATAAAGTACGCAACCATTTGTTTAAGATCTAATGATTGCTTCCTAAGGCTATGGGATCGGACTATCGGATATACATGGGAAACAAAACATTTGATCTATTCGTGTACCTGTGTTGAGATTCTATCATACTGTTCAATAATTAATCAAAGACTGGTATTTCAAGTAGATATCTGGTGCTCTTTTGTTAAACATGAAAGATGGCGATCAACTTGTTTATCTTAACCTGGTGAACCTGTGAATCTGATTGATTCAATATTTTCTTCTTTTTTCTCTTCTTTTCATTTCTATTTTCTTATTCTTTTATCTTCTTTTATTTTATTTTATTTTTTTTTCTATTTTCTGTTTTTTTTTTCTTCTCTTTTAACTATTCTTTTTTTTCTTTTTCTCCTTTCCTATCCTTTCCTTTCCTTCCTTTTCATTTTAATTTCCTTCATTCTTTTTATTTCAAGAATGTCTTTTCTTTTTCTTTTTCTTTCCAGTTTCTTTCAATTCCATTCCATTCTATTTCATTCCATCCCATTGCATTCCATCCCATTCCTTTCCTCTCAATTTTCAGATCTCCTTGTTCTTAGGCACGCTATTTGTTTTACGATYGTTTAAAGGTATCTCGAATAGAGGCTTAGCACCATCACGTGATGGCCGCCATGTCAGATGGCAGGAACAAAGGGATGTCATTGTTCTGCCATCTAACCACAGGCAGTCCAAGCTGTATAATGGGCGCCAGCACAATCAGTGTGATCACCGATGCATGCACTGCGCTAGTAACCCTTCAGTTTCCGAATTGAGGGAGGGCGTGGGATCAAGAGGTACCCACTAATAATTATTAGGTTAATCATAGATTATTAAATAAGCGATTTAGATGCCAAATTTTCCATTGAGCGGTTACTCATCTTTAAAACCCAAACTATTTTATARAAAAATTTTCTTGAAGTATGGGTAGATGTACAGGGGAAATAAAGTGTTCAAACCCATTCACGATATTAATAGCGTTGTTCGAGTCCACGAAAGCCACATGTGAATTGATTTTTTTTTTGTTATGCTCTCTCCCTTGCCACTAAGGTTTTTATCCAGGTTTTCTGGTTTTCCTCCCTCCAATAAAAATCAAAATTTGAGTGGGAGTTCAGTGTACATGTGTGTTTAAAACATTAAATGTAGTGATAGTGAGGGCGGAGTGTGTAGTGTACTAAACATTAGTCTCTGGCTAGGGAGACAAGGCAACAACTTCCCATATCACGATGTAAAATAAAAAACTTKAAAAAAATACTTTCCAGAAATCGTTTAAATAAGAAAGGGGGCGAAAACTGGGTGTATTTCAGGGGGAAAGCATAAAATATTTTGAAACAAGGAGTTAATCTAAGAATTTCCATGGAAAGCAACAAAAACACCACTGCTAACGAGTTCCTATATTTACATTTCCACCGAGTTTTCCACCAGCTAAAATCTATTAAAGCGTATGGAAAGTTATCATATTATTAGCAGGAGGAAAGTAGAATAAAAATAAATATTTTGAATAAAATAAACCATGTTTTTCTAATTTGTTTTCATGTTGTTTTTTTTAATCCAAACACCATTACGCTTAGCGACCAGCGATGATTCAATAATGTATCTTTTAAGAATATCATTATTTTTAGTATTATCCTTGTGTTGTCTGGGAACTAGACATTATGAAAGCGGAAAGAAAAATGGAACATTTTATTTTTGTGCAGAGGATTTTGATCGCGAGGATTGGAAATATCTTAATGTACTTGATAGTGGACCTATAGAAACGAATGAGTCGTTATATAGAGGTAAGTTGTGGGGAAAAGGTTTCCCCTGTTTTTCCCCGGAGGGATTTTAGAGTAGATAAAATATTTTGTTTAGGATTATAAGTATTATAAGTTTTTATGTGATTGTGAGTTCTCAAAAGGTCAAATAAGTGATTTTTTTTTTAATTCGCAGGTACAATGTTTTTGTAGCTGGGAGATCTTATTAATATTCATTTGTTGGATAAACACATAGAATGGGACTCACTCATTGCCGTCAAAATGAAAGAAAAAGAGAGCGAACGAAGAAGAGGGAAAACGAAAAGAAATAAAGAAGAGACAGAAAAAATAGTATGAATGATGACTTTGAAGATGACGATGGTGATGATGATGATGATGGTGGTCGTTATGATGGTGATGATGATGATGATGATGTGGATTGGCGATGACGTTGATGATGATGACGATGATAAATGATGATAATGATGATAATAATGATGATAATGATGATGATAATGATGAGGATAATGATGATAATGATGATAATAATGATGATAATGATGATGATGATAATGATGATGATGATGATGATGACGATGGTGGTGGTGGTGGTGATTATATTGATAATAAATATGATTAAGTTAATAGTTAATGTTGATGTTGATGATAATGAGAGAGACTCACCTTCTAGTTATGGCCAAGTATATTCGATTCATAGTTTATTCTCGATATTTTCGTCTTAGATTATGACAATCCTAAAGCAACACCAACATTAAAAACTGACAAGAATCCACAATGTAAAGCGCACAAGCTCCCAAAAAAGTGTAGACTTCTGCGCAACTGCCACGAGGTCAATTGTGAACTCAACGTACTTGGAAATAATGGGTCAATGAAGATCACATTTCCGCCAATTAGTGCGTCACTCACAGCTACAGYACAAATAACAGTCAAGAAGCCAAAAGTGCATAGTACATACCATCTTAAGGCTGGGAAGTCTTCAGGAGTAGTCATTAGAGAGTTTGGCTACAAAATCGGTAGCATGCAGACTCAAGTAGAGTTAAGCTTTTCTTTGAAGACTTTGAGTGGGGGAAAACTGTCTGTCAAGGTAAATAAAAATGGATATTGATAATGAGTTAATATTAATGATAATTATTACTGTCGGATCAAGGAGATCCAATAGCCCAACCCCTTTCCATTTTTCTTTTTTCTTTTATGTTGTCGTCCCGTGAGATAAAATCGCTGCTTAAAATATCGGCAACAGCCTTTTGCATGCTACATCCCTACAAGAAAGCATGCTATTCTTTTAAACTGCCAACGGTTATCAGTGGGCATGTCAGATATGAAAAAAGCTTTATCTGTCTGAGTATCCACTCCATAAGGACTCAATATTCGCTTATGATTATTCACAAGAATATTTAATAAGCTTACTGTATAATTTTACATATTTTAATTTAGTTAACTTTTGTCGTTCTGTTTTTAGTTTTAGCTCGCTGATTCAATCACATTAATATAAAGCATAAAGAGAATCTTAAGCTTTTCAAATCCCAGTAAAATAAAGAACTTCTAGCAGAAGTCTACGGTTTTTCAGCTCTATCTTTATCTAAACACAGCTAGAAACGGGTTTATAAATGGCGGGTTTTAGGAGTTGAAATTTTCAATCGAATTTCAATTCAATTCTTCTTTATTCAGTCTTTTTGACCTTTGAAAACATCTTACCTTATCATTTTGATAGTAATCTTTCTTCCTAGGACCATTTTAGAGGAATAATTGGTCATTTAAGCATAGATTTTTAGCTTTATTTATATATTCTTTGGCTGTACTTTCGACTTTCTCTTTAAAAGGTCCAAAGGTCATTCAAGGTCATTTACTGGCGACGCGCGCCGAAAAAAGGCGCGAAAATTCCTTCGTGCTGCACAACATAGGAAGCCCATGTATTATATTTTTGGACAGTAACTGTGCTTAAATAACAGGGACGAATACTAAAAATTTGCAAGGAAGTATTATTGTATCGGACTAAATATTCAATAAACGAAATCATAAGGATAAAAAAGTCATGTGTGTACAAAAACAACAAAACACAGGTGCACCTTGGAACACCCCTCTGAATCCGTCCGTGGTTAAATGCCTTAGGGTAAGGGGGAAGTGGGATTTTTGGACTTGATTTTACTTCACTCAGGTTAATATTTGCTATAGACCTAGTATTCTGCGGATTAATTCTTTCGCTCCGCATTTCATTTAACTTTGGTTTGGAGTGGAAATCATTTGAATGTCGATACCTCAYTCCTATATAAAAATATCCTTAAATAAATGGAATGAATCGCTACATATCTCCTGGACTTACTGCAAACCCACGACACTAACTCCTAGTCTACTATACTTGCCAATCACATTCGCGAAACCATACAATTTGCCGTTGGTGTAAAGTACGTTTTAATAGGCGTTTCCATGACTGAAACCATAGGCATGTTTTCTTGAAGCCTTCGGCCTTCCACAAACTAAAAATTAAGATATAGCGGAAAGCAAGCAGTAGGAACATCGATGGCCGCTATCAAGAAAACCGTACCTCTTATTTTAAAAGCGAACGCTCATAATGAATAAATAGCAAAAAACAATAATGAAATAAGGGTGTAAACTAAAGTTGTTTAATAATTAGTAGCAAATTGAGGGGGGAACCTTCCCTGCTAGCAGAGTCTCCTTCATTCGATTCGCGATTCTTGGCAGAGATTCTTCTTTGTTGCGCATGCGCCCTGGTAACCTAGCAACCCTGTCATATGTCTTAAATATCAAAGTATTCAGATTCACGGAAGACATTCAGTTATGTTACGTCGCTGACCCGTGTGGCATCAGTATATAGTAACCCAACTCTAATAAACACAGTCAGCATCAGGTTTACTAAAAACTCACGCAGATTCCAACCAATATTTTTTTAGTCAGTTTTGTTTAATGAAGTCGCCACGGTTACACAAATCMTAATAAATTACAATACTGAATAAATAACAATAACAATAGCAATAAATGATAATTAATAAATCTTAATAAATAAATAACAATAAATAATATATAAGCTAGATATCAATTAATCAATCAATCATTCATTCAATCATTCAATCATTTATTCAATCATTCAATCATTCAATAATGATTGTTGATCAGCTTGGACTTTGAAACGAAATTTAGCAAAAAGACAAACGCTAGAAGATTACAACGTTTCTTAAGAAATGCAAATATAAGTTTGACTGTCTTTTGTATGAGATGATGCTCATAAAAGAAAAATCGCCCTTTAGAACCAAGTTATTTACGTGATCCACTGATCCGTAAAACATTGACTGTTAACTGGACCGTTTCATAACTTAATTTATTCAACTATTGTTGTTTTTTTTTTGTTTTTTTTTTTTGTATTTAATGTTAAATTATTCCACCATCACTTTACTTGATAATGATATCGGACGATGTCGAAACATTGTAATCAATAATGATTGATAGATAGTTTAAACATAGTTAATATGGTTCAAAACTGCCAAATATCAAAAGTGTCGTTGTTTGCTTAAATTTTTTGATTGATAATAATGAAACAAGGGTGTGACGGAAGCGTTCAAAGTTATTCACTAATAAGTAGCAAATAGCAGGTAGGAAACAATCTATTTTAGAGAATTCGAAGCAAGCTGTTTATAAGCCTCCATATTACACCGCTTCACCACTATCAGGTTGGGTAATTCTTCCCCATCATAAACCATTTGCCCCCTGTTTTCTCCATTCAGCTTCACAGTAGCGTGAACACGGGTTTCTTCCTCGACTAYGTCGGGCTTGACAGCGACAGCCATTGCCAGCAAATCACAGGGAACGTAATCTTGCCCTTGATTCTTGTAATAATCACAAGATTTGCTATCTATCTTCCTAAAGAAATTAGCTTTCTCTGTACCCTGGCCTGTGGTGTCGTCATAGAACTCCCAGCTCCAAGAATGACGGAAACAAGCTTCAAATGTTGCTAGGTAAACTGGGCAAGTGAGCTCCTTGAGGCAAATAGCTGCTGATTCAACATCGTTCTTGAAGTTAAACTCGGCAGGACTTCCTTCATCATTTCCTCCCATTATCACCACTCTCTTTAGATTCTGTGGCAATGTTGGATCCATACGGCATGCCAGAGCTAGATTTTTCACTGGAGCGACTGCTGCAAGAGTTATCTCTCCAGGGTGTTGCCTTGCTAGTCTGATGATGGCATTAACGGCGTGYTCCTCTTGTATTCTGCTCAAGTCTGGATCAGGAATGCCTTCTGCATCTCCAAAACCGTCCTCGCCGAAAATAAAGGATGTACTCTCGCCTTTCCCACCTTCAGTAAAGTAATAATCAAACACGCAAAATTAACAAAATATATTACTCTTATTATTATCATTGCTACGACTATGTCCGCGGGCTGCCGCACACCTAGACGCCGCATAATATGTATAGAGATAACACTAAGCCAAAATCTCGAAAAGCAAAAAATATTATTATATCTCACAGAGGTTCTGTTGGTTTTTAATGGTTCATTTTATCGTCAATCAACTTAGATGGCCATGTCACTGAGTTTGTACATAAAACGTTTTACCGGACAGAAACGAAGTGTGACCGCCGAAGCTCAAACTAATTTGGGTGCCCGTAATCTTAAGCCCCCCCCCCCCCC